GGATACATGGCATAAAGTTCATAACACCACATGATTCGAGTATTCATGGTACTGTCGGCATGTGAGTCCTTCCCTTTGCCTTTAACTTCTAAATTTGTACATCCAAACTTCATTGGAGGTGCCTCCCAAGTCCCACCTACGACAGTTGTTGAGAGAGAGAAAGAGAGATAGAGATGGATGAAGTGAAGTGGGTGGGCCCATCAGTTAAGTGCACCGATGAAGGAAACCATGGGCCCCAATCAAAAGCTAATTTTTTTTTTTTTTGTTTTGGCAAAGTTGTGGGAACAAGGATTGATTTTTTCTCTGTTTTGCCTCACCAACCACATTAGAGTTTCACTTCATGATCCTTCTTGTCAAAAAGTTGACAAGAAGAAGAAAACTTTTTTTTCACTTGCACAAGTTTTCAAATACATGATCATGCTTGCAAACTAAATCAACCCAATGTCATCAAAATATCTAAAGACCCCAAAAAAGAATCCAATCCAAACTAATCCTTAGTTTTCTATTCTTTTTCTCCTACCCTAATTACTTTCTTTTCATACAAGGGACAAATATACTTTGACCCCTCAACTTTGCCCAATATATGTATTCTCCTCAACTATTACGTTTTTCACGTTGTATCACCTTAACTATATATAGCTATTAGTTTGACATTGGCCTTTTAACTATTGTATTTCTAATATTGTACCTTCAATTATCATTATCTCAATTTTAGAATATAAAAATGTGTATTTTACTACAAATGTGAATATTTTCTGTTCAAAACATCGACGACAATATATTTTTGTGATAATGTGAAACTAATTCATGTAATTGAGGGGATAATGTGAGAAACTTAATAGTTGAGGGGACACAATGAGAGCTTGGTCATGATTGGGAAGGGTCAAAATATAATTTACTTGCATAATAATTCAAGAGCAATGATATGGGCACCCTCTCTTGTATGGCCAATAAACTTGGTGAACAAAATTTGAAATTTAAATGAGTAAAAATTGATCAAAATTATTACTGTGTCAATTTCACATCATTTGATTTCGGGTTTTGTCATGTCCAATCTTATTGTCAATCTAACATTATACGTGATGTATTGTTATTCTTCTAAAAAAGTTTTACATAAACACGAAGAGGTGCCCAAAACCACAACCATTAGTATATGTTATCACTGATCAACGCTTCACTTTGCACATAAAAAAAGAAGAAGAAGAAGCTATATCTTTAGGGTTTCCATTGGACCTGCTCTTTTGATCATTTGGAGGGGTTTTAAAATGGTGGGCAACCTCAGAATTAAGCTTTAGGTGCTTGGCCTTATTTACCATGATTTCGTGCTTACACGTAAGCTTTTTATGACACACAAACCATTAGTTGCTCTTTCTTTTCTTTTTTTTTTTCAACTGTCAATATGTTCAGGTCAACTTCTGCACACTTTAACTGATATTTTTTTTGATCCGGTCAAAAATAAGTCATCCACGCCAAAACTAGAAAAATTATGAGGGACAAACTTCTCCTGACTTGACCTTAAAAAATTGTCAAGATTTAAACTTTGAAAGTCTGAATTTACAATTTATACTAGCTCTTAGGGTTATTAGTTGCACTTTCGAAAAACCACAACCTTGAGTTGAGAAATTCCAACTCTCCCCCTCTTTCTGAAGCTGGTTTTTGTTTGGACCAATACTTTTTTGGGTTAATGGTAATCTTTTCAATCAATAAATGTCTTAAGAGTTATAATTGCAAAACAAATTTTGAATGCAAATAATTAATGCAGACCAGGTACATGTATCTGTACAACCCAAGTTTTTACTAGTATTGGGACTCAATTTTAATGTGTGCAAGGTTACGTGTTTGTTCGACTACTAAATCAACTCGTGTGAGTAATGATAAGATTATTTGACTCGAGTACTATATAGGTATTATATTCAAATCAAACTTCTATTTCCAATGGCCGAGGAGTAAGCAGCATGTGATCCTCCATTAAACAAAAAGATAATCGATAAGATACTGCGATAAGATGGCATCAGACAAAGGATCAAGGGGTTAGTTGTGCTTTGAAAGACTAACCTCNAATTATTTGACTCGAGTACTATATAGGTATTATATTCAAATCAAACTTCTATTTCCAATGGCCGAGGAATAAGCAGCATGTGATCCTCCATTAAACAAAAAGATACTGCGATAAGATGGCATCAGACAAAGGATCAAGGGGTTAGTTGTGCTTTGAAAGACTAACCTCCTTCAATGATGATTAACCTAAAAGAAATCAAGTTTTTCTTACAGTACTAATGAGATCTTCTTATTGGTTTTTATCTTCTTTGTTTTCCTTTTTATTATACTAGAAGATCTCGTACACAGACTATTTTGTGCGTGATTGTTAAAGAGTAAGAGAAAAAAAAAGAAGAAGAAAGATATGAGTGGAGAGAGAGAGAGAGGGAGAGAGAGAGAGAGAGAGGGAGATTTCAAAGCAATTAAAAGGGGAGCTATATGAAGGGTACCAGAGATATATATATATATTTTTTTTGTTCAAGGGTTAGGAGTTACTTATATTTCAGTTAATTTTTTCTTGGGTACAGTCAAAGACAATCCATTTATGCCAAAATTAAAAAATTCATGAAAAATAAATCTCTCGTGGCCTGACTCCAAGAGACACTAGACGATACTNGGGAGAGAGAGAGAGAGGGAGAGAGAGAGAGAGAGAGAGAGGGAGATTTCAAAGCAATTAAAAGGGGAGCTATATGAAGGGTACCAGAGATATATATATATATTTTTTTTTTTTGTTCAACGGTTAGGAGTTACTTATATTTCGGTTAATTTTTTCTTGGGTACAGTCAAAGACAATCCATTTATGCCAAAATTAAAAAATTCATGAAAAATAAATCTCTCGTGGCCTGACTCCAAGAGACACTAGACGATACTCTTTTTATTTATTAATAGTATAGATTTTAACTATACCAAACCATATCAAANCTAGAAGATCTCGTACACAGACTATTTTGTGCGTGATTGTTAAAGAGTAAGAGAAAAAAAAAGAAGAAGAAAGATATGAGTGGAGAGAGAGAGAGAGGGAGAGAGAGAGAGAGAGAGGGAGATTTCAAAGCAATTAAAAGGGGAGCTATATGAAGGGTACCAGAGATATATATATATATTTTTTTTTTTTGTTCAACGGTTAGGAGTTACTTATATTTCGGTTAATTTTTTCTTGGGTACAGTCAAAGACAATCCATTTATGCCAAAATTAAAAAATTCATGAAAAATAAATCTCTCGTGGCCTGACTCCAAGAGACACTAGACGATACTCTTTTTATTTATTAATAGTATAGATTTTAACTATACCAAACCATATCAAACCCCCCGCCCATACTTGGTGACTTTAAAAAAAAAACACAAAACTATACCGAACCAGATGATATTAAAAAAATAAAGAAATGATTCATTTTCAAATGTNACCCCCCGCCCATACTTGGTGACTTTAAAAAAAAAAACACAAAACTATACCGAACCAGATGATATTAAAAAAATAAAGAAATGATTCATTTTCAAATGTGGAGATAAATAAATATAATAAAACGCATTAATTTTGTAAATGAAGTGATAGATGGACCAGGGTAGATCCGCATTAAAGATACTGTCAACTCCTCAACTCAGTTTCAACCATGCAAATCTGTAGTGATCATTCTCTTAACAACTAAAATAAATACATATACCTACTGTAGATTTTATACAGTTCATATTAATTTATTGATTAGATTTGTATATTATTAAAATATAAATATTTAAGTTATATTTGTTGATCCTGACTATTTCTAGCAATTTAAAATTTTAAAGCAGCCGGTGGTTTAATATTCTTTTTGGAAGTGGAGAATCTGACATAATATCAAACCACTTTAATACCAATGTTGGTTCATACATTTAAGAGTTTCCAGATAAACATAATCAAACTTAGGGGAATTAATCTATTAACAATTTTGGATACTTGTAAGTTTTGATTGACTGCCCAAATCCAAAGCAAAGAAGTTAACATAATTGTTGGGGTAATTGAATAGCCAAAACAAGTATGCACAAAATCCTAAATAATTAACCCATAATTAGTTTAAGTGATAATTGAAATGAGCTATAAATCTAAACATTCTGAATTCGAATATTTTCAATTTTTCGGGGTCAGACAATAAGAGATTTATTCTTCATAAATATCCTAATCCCGACGTGGATGAACTACTTTTGACTGAAACGGAAAGAAAATTAGTCGAGATGCATATAAATTATGTCAAATACCACTTACCATTGAACCCAAAAAAATAAAATCCTAAATAACTTTGGCTACTTAGAGACGAGGGGAAGGGAGAGTTGAAGAAATGTCTAATGATCAAACCTAATGGCTACTAAACGACATTGATTGGGCTTCATTATGAACTAAAACTGATTTCTTACTCTATAATCAAGTTTCGAAAATCTAATTCATTTTTTTTTTTTTTGGGTGTTGCTACAATTAAGAATCCTTGCCAACAGTTTTAATCACACTCACACTCTCCTCCTCAACAACTACCCCCCAACTTTGTTGTTATGTTTTTTTTTTTCCAGCCGTAGTATTTAAGGGAAAGAGTTATTGACTGACACAGTGTTAAAAACACCCGTCAACAATCGTGAAATTGTGAGTTTGAATTTAAGAGTGATCCGTTCGGATCAAAAAAAATAAAAGAAGAAAAAATTTATCATTTTTCACGGAGAATATTGAGATCATCCCTTTTAATACCCTCGAAAAACGGGTGAACTCCAACTATGTATAATTTTTACAAACGTGATTGTAATAATTATGAAATATAATGGTAAATTTGTAATCAGGGTAAGAGTCAAATTTCTAAGTCGAAGAAAAAAAAAATAAATAAATATGAAAATTTACAAGATTCAACAGAGGATAAATAAACAACAGCTTCCCAGCTGTATAACAGAGCCAAGCCATATTAGCTGTGAGCCTCCAACTAAGTGGTATTAAGCCAGCTCTATGCCAAAACTCACGGCGCGGCTGGAGCCAAGCTAAGATGCAAGTCCAGCCCAAATGCATCATCAAAAGTGGGCCCACCATCCCCTCTGGAGAACCTACTTAAGGAGGCCTCATCATCATGATGGGCCTTGACCTGTTGAGGCCTAGCCGTCGTCAGGCTAGACTCTCCTACACTGCCAGCATAAGATAAATTTCCTACACCCCTCCCACCACCACCCATACTGGACGTTGATGGGGAAAATACACATCCATGTGACACGTGGAAGGGCGGAGCGCCGCGTGGTACGTAAACCCACGACGGAGACGGTTGCGTTGCCGCAGGGATCATCATAGAGCCGGCCTGGGCTAGGAGATGCGGCGGTGGTGTGAAGGCGGAGACTATAGGGTTCCTCATATATGAAACGGCGGCGTTTCGGCTAGCTTGCATTTGGGCACGTTTCAGTTGTTGTCTTTCTTTCTTGTGAGCGTTTTGGTGGCCACCAAGTGCTTGTGAGTTGGCGAATTCTCGGCAACAGTATTGGCACTCGTATTTCCGGCCGTCGGTGGCCGGAAAAGTGCCGGAATCCGACGACCCTGATGCTGTTTTTGTTGAGTCTACCTCGTCGTCCTCTGATACGTTGAAACCAAAGAGCTTTAAACATCCATTACTTGTTGGCTTACTGATAGGTTTCCTCTGAGATTCGTGTTCTTCCATATACATAGTTCTTATATATGTATAAATATAAGGGAAAGAGAAATATATGTAGAGAAAGGTGTGAGAATTTGAGAGAGACAGAGAGAGAGACAGAGAGGGAGAGAAATGAAAGTGAGACAGAAAGACAGAGAGGAAGNATCCATTACTTGTTGGCTTACTGATAGGTTTCCTCTGAGATTCGTGTTCTTCCATATACATAGTTCTTATTTATGTATAAATATAAGGGAAAGAGAAATATATGTAGAGAAAGGTGTGAGAATTTGAGAGAGAGAGAGAGAGACAGAGAGGGAGAGAAATGAAAGTGAGACAGAAAGACAGAGAGGAAGCAAAGTGGTGTGTCAAGAGAGTTTTTGCATGGGTGGGGTATTTATACAGGTTTAAAAGGGTTCAAAGTTTTATTGGACAGTAAGGAGATAAATATATATATATATATAGATAGATAGATAGATAGATAGAGAGAGAGAGAGATGGTTGCGGCCATCCCAAGGAGAAGAAATTAAGTGTAAAGTAGGGAACACGACGCGAGAACGCTTGCGAACCCTATGGAGATTGCACTTGTTTTTTCAGCATCATGTTTCAATTTTGCTTTCACGTGTACAAGATTACAAAAATACCCTCCCGAGAAATAGAAAACTTTAGTTAATAATTACATTGTTGTGTATGGGACAGTCATTTCATTTGCTGTTTTTTGTTTTGTTGATGTAGTACTTATGAGTGAGGAATATGATGCATGTGAATTTTGTAGGGTGGTGGTTGAACTATCAAATGATTGTGCTTGTACACTGTTTTGAGTAAACAATATCTTCTTCTTGCTCTTGCCTTGTTTTGCATATACTCAAGAAAATAGCTTCCTACCACCAAGGACAATTACCAAATAGGTATTAATGTTCATTTAGACTCAGCATAGAGTGGGCAGGAACATTGATCAATTAGCCCACTAATACGGTGAACCAATCCGAGTATTAAAGTAATACTACTTGAACTTAATTACTAATGATTTAATTTGTTGATCTAATCTATTTGTTTGTTCTTGTTTTGTATGGCGCTAGACAGATTACAAAATTCCTGGTTAAATTCAAATGTAAATGATGTGAAACATAAGGAGAAAAGCATCCAATGCCCCTAGATCATAGGAGGTTCAACACTGTTTATCTTGTGTTCTTGTGATGGCATTGTTCTATGTACATTAGTGAAAAAGAGATTCTTTCCACTAAGTGAAATATAATTATAATAATGGTACTATAAAGTGTGGTTAGAGAAAACCAAAAATGTTACGTATATCAACCAGTCAAATGCCACAAACTTTGTCATGAAATCTAATCTTCGAAGTCCTAATGTGGTATATTATTTTGTAGTTTTAACTTTCTGCAGGAAATTCACTACAAAGAGATATAGTGCAACGAGCCCCCATGAGCTACCATGAAGCCCATGTCTCTGTTCTCTGACTATTCTTTTTTTTGGGTACAAAAAAGAAAATAAGTATATAGATAAGTCATTCAAGATATTCATCAAAAAATATTGTCCTTCAACACTATACAACTATTTGTAGAGGTCGGAATTTAGATTTCACCGAATGTTTTGAAGGCTATAGAATATGTTTAATCCTAAGTAGTTGTCGTAGCTATAATGATCTGAGAAAATTTGAATTTTTATCCACGGACCAATAGCTCGTCGGTTACAATTCTGTGATACCACCAACTGCTACTAGAAAATGCTGCTCACCTTCTTTAAGAAGGCTTCTTACATGCTTCCTCCTCTCTCTCTCTCTCTCTCTCTCTCTCTATATATATATATATATAATGCGCCCTTCTTTCTTTTTTCTTTGTAATTTTGCCTTGGCTTAATCTACGGAGCAGACCCTCTCACTCTCTCTCTCTCTCTCTCACACACACACACAGAGAAGCCGAAAGTCAAAATATCCTATGCATGCAAACTTATGACTTACAAGACTTGTCTGATGTCCCTCTCAAACGATTATCTAAACAAAAGTATCTAACCTTAGATACATTTCTGATCTTACACCGTCGGTCTAACATAATCATTAATCACCTCTCTTGTGGCCCCCGCCTCAACATCATACCCACCCTCCATATCAAGCACAAGCATTACCCATTACGTTTTCATCCCTACAAAATATTATAACAAGTTTTCGTCCTCCCAAGCATGGCTGGCCCTTATGCTAGGCAAGCTGATGATAATTTTTTAGAGCAATTCTATTAGAACCTAATTTAGTGATCTAATTTGTTGATCTAGCTCCATTAAACTTTAGAATTTGGTGTTAATCCAATAATTCTAATGAAACTATATAATTAGGTTAATAAATTATGACAGATTTTTAGATCCAAATAACATTACTCTATTTTTTAATATCTTAATTTTATTTTAATATTTAGATTTACTTAGTTTCAAATTATTTTTAAAAAATTTAGATTCAAGATTAATTAAGTCTAGATTTGTTTTCAAGGCCCCAAATAAAACTTTCAGATCAATGTTTAATTAAATAAAATTTTATTTTTCGGGCCCTTGAATTTTTTTTATAGACACAAATTCAATGAAATAAAATTTTATTTTTACGAGTTTTATATTAATATGAGATTCATTATATTAACTATAATACTATTCATGCCTTGGAACATCCATGTATAACAAAAATACATAATTATTTTCAACTATTTTGATCAATTTGAAAAGTATGTTTTTTAAAAAAAAAAATTTTTAGAATTTGATGGTCTTCTGATAAGTTAAATTTATTTAAAGTTAAATGAAATTTGTTAATGACTTCTTTTTGATGCCATGACAACATAAATATCACTAGAGTGTCTAGTATTAAATTTCAAATCCACCCTCACTTTTCTGTTAATTATTAGTCCTTGAATAAATTTTATAAATCTAAATGATATGTTAAAAAGTTTGAATACAGAAATTTAAATATTTAGTTGGCATCTCAAATAACAAGAAACTTATTTTTAGATAAATATGTTTTAATATTTTAATAAAAAAAAAAATCTATATATTATCATAATAATTATAATTAATGGGGTCTCATCCAAGAATTTCACCTAGAACCTCCATTTGACTCGAGCAGGCCCTGCCTCCAAGAAATTGATATTTGAACTCTATTAACTTCGTACCCAAATATCATATTGGTGAATGTAATATATTATATTTGTGTATTATAGTTTTTCGATACTAAATTATCTATGAGACCCTTACAATAAGTATATATGTATTTGTCAAACATGGGTTATATACAATAGACAAACCTGACTATACATGAGTATATATGAGTTGAGCATGCATTGAACTAATTTTAACACAACAAATTTGTTGAAGAAAACCGCTTAATTTCTTCTTGTTAGTGTAGAACAAAATTGGATCGCTGGAACTCTGGAATTTCAGTGAAATGGGAAATCCGTAAATCTATCTTCAACATACAATGAAATCCAACTTGATTGTGTCTTATACTGACGAAAACAGTGCCTTGAATATCCACTTGAAAAATGAAAATAATCAAATACAGGAATACTAATTCTACAACAATTAAGAATTCTAGATGCAAAACAAAATGAACAAAATATTATGTTTTTAAGAAGAATGGGATACCTAAAATTCTGAGTATGCATTGTGTCGGGGTAGGTTCTGTATTTATAGAACCACATGTCTGTTGGCCAATGGGTACTAGATTCAAATTTCAGTTAACTTGAATCCTGTCTGGTTGATCTTACTCGTTGATATAACAGTCATGTCCATTTGTAATCGGCACACCGATATGGCTCTTGTACACCCAATCTGACCGATCAATCAATCCAATTTGTACCCATGTATGTACTAAGTGCAAAGTGCAACATCAAATCACCACATTGTGCCCCTTCGCCGCCCGCCTTGCATTGCATGTGGACGACGTGGGTTCCCATGATGCATAGTGGAGTCTTTATGCTAAAATAAATGTACTTTCTATACTAACCTTTACGATGTATGCTCACTAAACGTTTCCCATTTTTTTGACGTGGAATTGGTGTCAAAGACATCCTTCAACCTTCCCAAAAAAATATGTGAGTTTTTCAAAAGACCCGCTCAGCAAATAATTTAATTTATAAAATTATTTTACAAAATTAAATATCAAAGGAACTCAGATAAGACATGATCCCTTTTGCAAACTTTGATTACAATCTTTCTTCTTTTTCTTGCAATCCCTTGATTAATGTCAACATGGAAACCTTTGTATACTTAAATATATAAAATAAGTATTTATATGTATGTATATATGCTGTTGTTTGACAAGTATGAATGTTCAGGTGATTCAACTTAACATAAGACCCCACCATTACGTGTTGGTGATGAATTATTGTTTAGGATGTTTGCGTGATTGACGTTGAACTCCATATATTATATACTTTTCTTTCCATAGAAGAGATCTCTCGAATCTTACTAACTACATGAGAGAGAGAGAGAGAGAGGTCACTTTAAAAGCATAGTTATTAATTATAAATGTGTGTGTATGCACAAATGTGACAATCAAAAGCTGTTTCCAAAGTCTTCATCGCAACTCCAAACGTGACCCACCTTGTCTCCGCATTCTTTTCTGTGTTCTATTCATATTTTCATACCTTCTCTGACTTAGTCAAAGTTTCCCATATAAGAAATCTTGATTCCCCAAGATTTGATTATCTTTGGGTGAAAGTTTATACTCTTTTCGACCGTTAGATTCTTTGATAATTAATCATAATTGCTATGATATTAAAAGTGAAAACAATAGCTTCTAGGCTTAAGAAATTGTTAATGATCACATATCTATAAACACATCCTCCCAACATGGTTTGTTTCGAAGTCAACCTTATTGATCATTATCATTTTTATGGTACCATAAACTTATAAAATATTATCTTTTGATAGTTTGGAACCAAATGTAGACTCCTATTATCTTGCCAAATAATTAGTAGATTTTACAATTTCTTTGAAATTGTGAGAATTGTACCATGCAGGCAAATCCAATCTTGAATAAGAAG